GGAAGTTCGGGAATGGACTTTTGGTTTGCGCATTGGGCTGTTTTTCACACTCCAGAGGCTTCAGAGAAGCCTCATAAAGGCTCCAGAAGGAGAAAAACAGCCCTATGGGCAATCCGGAAGTCTGTTCCCAAACTTCTGGTTTGCCTATAGAGCTGTTTTTCACATTCAGAAGCATTCAGAAGTCTCCTGAAGCATCCAGAGGGCCCCCAGAGGGTGGGGAAGGCTGTTTTCGCCCTTCCCAGGCTCCTAGAAAGCCTCTGGAGCCTGGGGAGGGTGAAAAACAGGTCCATTCCATGCCAAAAGCAGGTGGAGGGCGGTTCGTTCGTGCGTCATGCATTTGGGTGGTTGTGTGTGCAAGCGTTCAAGGGGGGCACGCACATAGCACTATGACACACACACCCGTGCTCCCTCCACTTTTGGCACTCAATGGGGATACAGTTAGCCATCACTGTTCTACAACATCACCTTTTCCAGGTTGGACCACATGTTTTAATGTGAAAAAGCAAGATACAAAATGGAAATTAAGCAGTTCAAGTTTCTCCTTGCTGCCTGTCACCGTTCCCTCATATTCTCTAACCAAGAGACTAATTGATATTCAGTTGGATGGCAGAAGTATTGCATAAACTGGCCACTGCTACAGAGGCTACCACAAAACAGATGCTTATCCTTCTACTGTTTTATTAGCAAGTTAAATATGATATTTCACACTTGAAAAACAGAGAAAGCCAATCCAAACCATAAAGAAACATCTATTGGAAAAGCAAACGGGTTTGTGCTAACTCTAAATCAAAAAAAGCTGAAATTTTTCAAAACAGTAAAAGCTGAAGTATTAACACAGCTAAACTATTAATCTCATTAAAGTGTTTTCCTTCCCAAGAAAATCCAATTCTGGGTTATATCCAAAAATCATCAGTGTGGAAAAGTTTGGAGCAATTGGAAATCTATTTTTCATTTTACTAACCACTTTTAACCCCTAACCTACTTGATGACTGCAGAAAATACTTGAATTATGGCCTGTCCCTCAAGAAGTATTTAATTATATTAATTACAAATCACCAAATTATCATGCTTTCCTCTATTTTTTGAGGCACCATTCCAAAATATGTAAGACTGGAGATATTTAAAATTCAATTAACTGAAAAAGCAGTTGAAAAAATAACACGTTTTCCTTCAACTTAGTATCTTCTAGAAATTGAAAATTGAATACATCCAAAAACAACCAACTTCAGAAAAGTTGTAATTATGTAATCCAAACTAACTCATTCAGGGGTCTTCTAGCACTGATCAGGAATATTGTCCTGTGTAGAAAAAGGACCACAAAAAATGCTTTTCTTTTGCTCTATATCAGCGGTTCTCAACCTGTGGGTCGGGACCCCCTTGGGGGTCAAATGACCCTTTCACAGGGGTCGCCTAAGATCATCAGAAAACACATATTTTTGAAAAAAATATGGAAAACATAAAATAATTTTATGGTTGGGGGTCACCATAACACGAGGAACTGTATTAAAGGGTCGTGGCATTAGGAAGGTTGAGACCCAATGCTCTATGTCAACGATTTGTGTGATTGGCTTAAAAACAATTGCATTCTTTTTGCCAACAATGTAAAATTATTCAATTCTACAGATAATTCTGTTGTTTTGCAAAGTGATCTCGACTGTGTCTGAATGATCATCTATTTGGCAACTTCAAATTTCAATTAATAAATGCTCTATCTTACATAGTATTGGTAAACGTAATCAGAATGTCAAATATAAGCTAGGTGGCATTGATCTAGCAGAAAACCCTCACTTTGTTAAGGACCTAGGTATACTTATCTCTGACGATTTATGCTCCAAAGCTCACTGTAACACGGTTGCTAAAAAAGCATGAACAGTTGCAACCTTAATTTTGCAAAGCTTTTTTTCTTGAAACATTGTATTGCTAATTAGAGCTTATAAAACTTACGACAGACCAATTTTAGAGTATTGTTCAACTATTTGGAATCCCCACCATATATCTGACATCAGTACAATCAAGCGGGTTCAGAAGTACTTCACGAGAAAAGTCTTGCGCTCTTCTGTACACAATAAAATTCCCTATGCTGCTAGGCTCGAAATTCTCGGTTTGGTAGTTTAGAACTACGTTGCTTGCGGTGAGACCTAGGTATTGCATGCAAAATTATACGTAGTAATATTTTACCTGTAAATGACTTTTTCTGTTTTAACTGCAATGATATGTGCACGAACAACTGCTTTAAACTCAGTGTAACTCGTTCTAAACTTGACTTGACTGAAATCTTAAAAATAAGATTTCTGTAATAAGAATTGTCAAAGTCTGGAATGCCCTACCTGATTAAGTTATTTCAGCTACACATTTTCACAGTTTCAGTCACAAATTGACTTCCGTAGACCTTACTTCATACTTAAGTGGTCAGTAGAGGGTGCGTGCATAACTGCACTAGCATACCTATGCTCTCTGTCGTTGAAATTTTATTCTCTTCTTCTTGTTCTCATTTCTATTTGACAAATTCCAATAAATAAATAAATATAATTGATTTGATTTTATGCTGAAATATTCATGAACATTTGTTCCACCAAAAGAAGGAAAAAGAGCTGTCATATGTTGTTAAGTAACATTATAAAAATATATTGCAGAATAATACAGATTCAATAGAGAACAAAGAAAACATTATATTTTGTTAGCACTGAAAACTCAAATTCTACGTCGGACAAGGGAAATACTTCAACATTTGACTTCCTTGTTAATCAGCTTGTCCTTATAGCTTCAGTAGCTATTTTAACCAGTGGAATTGTGTGGTTCATTAATAATCATTACTAATCTAAATAATTCATTTTAAGGTGACAAATACAGAAGGCTAAAAATTATTACTTCAGAATACCACAGGCGAAAAGTTTTATGAATGAAAAATTTCATTGAAAAATCTAAGCAAAAGGAGAAATAGATCCAAAATCAGTATGAATATTCATATCAATTGTGTTCTCTTGTTTTAAAAAAATGATATCTAAAGAACATATCAAGCAAAACTACAACTAAGAGAAATCCAGACTGAGAGACCTATTTGTGTTTTATCTGCATACAAAAAAAAAATATCAAGCTAAACGTGGCTGCTAGGTGCATACCAGAAGACCTGAAATATTTCAAAATGACATCTGTGAATCTCAGTTAAAAGTTTTGAACTTTGTGTCATAGAACAGCCACTAAGTCAAATCCGGACAATATTCTCTCTTCCACACTTTCTTTTTAGGATCTCTTCCCTTCTATTTTTATTTTCTCCACTGTTGTTGGCAATGGAGCTCACACACCACCCTCGTTAGTTTGCATGTCAGAGGAAAGACAAACCAGTTGAAAAATAGGGAAGAAAGAAGAAGATACCAGGAATTTTTTTTAAAAGTTTGCTTAGCACTAAACTGAAAAGAGGTCTTTACTGAAAACAAATCCATAAAACCATCAGTAAATTTAATAGTTGACTATATCAGGTTCCCAGTGTGATTCTACAAGATGCTCCCGAGAATAATAAAATGAAAAAAAAAGGCATTTCCAATACCATGCATAAAAACAAAAGGAATACTATAAACTATTTTAATCCACATTCAAGTATGTCTGATTACTCAGTTACAGGATCAAAGAAAAATCATTCCTCCTGCATGGAGCTAAATAAATGAGTCCTAGTGTGTTAAAGCAGACCACATAAAGTGTACCAATGAAATATAAACAAAACAAAACGAAATAGAAAGCATATGTCACAACGCACACCCAGTTGACCCCATCCCTAGTTATTTCCTGGTTTTGGTTTAATCCATCCCACTTTATTAGTGCCTTTGGTTACATAAACTAATACTTATACTGTATGTTGCTGAGTGTATAAAATTAAGAACATTAGGAAGTTTTTTTATAAACCTCATCTTTAACAAATACTTCTCCCTCTTAATTCTCGATCCCTGAATATTTCCTCTGTAATTAACAAGAATGAGCAAAGAGCAAAAGAGGTGGTTAATTTTATAAAGTTTTTTTTAAAAAAAATCCAGTCAAATCATAATTAATTATAGAAGGCAGCAAAATATAGGAGCAATCTATCCCTGACCACAAATGGGATACAAAGTATGTCATCTGACTATTAAATCATATTGCATTAAAAAGCTGTCCAATTAGATCTGCAATACACTATGTAAGTTTTCCTGTTTCGCCAGATGGGTTGGCCTGTGGATCATCCATTTCCAAATCAACAAAGCTATGAAGAAGTATAATGAGATCCATCTGGTGGGCGCCATCTTGGGAAAAGTTGCTGCCCACAACTACTTGGAAGCAAGTGTCACTGAATTCATGGTACTTCTGATCACACAGACATAGATTTGGGCTATAATAAGCCTTGCAGTTTACAGGTAGTCCTTGAGTTACAACCACAACTGAACCCAAAATTTCATGTTGCTAAATGAAACATTTGCTAAGTGAGTTTTTCCCCAATTTAAGACCTTTCTTGTCCCAGGTTGTTAAGTGAATTGTTACAGTTGTTAAGTTAGGAACCGATTGTTAAGTGAATCTAGCTTCCCCATTATCAGAAGGTTGATCACATGACCCTGGGACACTGCAACCGTCATAAATATGAGCCAGTTGCCAAGCATCTCTGTTGTGATCACGTGACCATGGGATGCTGCAATGGTCATAAGTGTGAAAAACGGTCATAAGTCACTTTTTCCAGTGTTGTTGTAACTTTGAAAGGTTACTAAATGAACTGTTATATGTCAAGGACTACCTCTATTAGCAAAACCTTGCCCTTCATTACTACAGAACAAGATTCTATGTAGAGTGTTTCAACATTTCATTCCTTTGTTGTACCTCTTCAGATACAATCTGCATTTTCAGCATATGTGCATTAAGAGAAAAGGAGCCTCAGTACTTGATTTAATAAATAAATAAAGGAAAACACACGCATAGTTAAGCAAGGTCAGCTATACTCAGAAACAAGTTCTTATCGTGTTCATTTGAACATTTAGTGTCCTTACCTCCTGGGCAGTGTCTCAAGGCCATTTTGCATCTTCTGGACTCTGCAATGGTGGGACATGGTATTGTGTCTTTTGCGGGCTTTTTTACAATTTGCCTCGTTCTCGTTTCCAAACCCCACTTAAATCCGCAGGTCTTGTTATTTGTGCTGCAAACAGCCCACTCGCTCCAGGGGCCCACTTGACAACCTTCTGGAAAAAAAACAACACATACGCACACACATACACACATCTAGTTAGTATTCTTATTTTCTAACATTTGCATCTTCTAGAATATAGGAACCTAGGGGCGGGGGGGGAAATCAAAACATGCCAACTTTTCATTAGGTTTACTCCCTAGCTCAGGACTAAGAGCCGAGGTGGCGCAGTGGTTAAATGCAGCACTGCAGGCTACTTCAGCTGACTGCAGTTCTGCAGTTTGGCTGTTCAAATCTCACCGGCTCAGGGTTGACTCAGCCTTCCATCCTTCCGAGGTGGGTAAAATGAGGACCCGGATTGTTGTTGTGGGCAATATGCTGACTCTGTAAACCACTTAGAGAGGGCTGAAAGCCCTATGAAGCTGTATATAAGTCTAACTACTATTACTATTACTGTGAAACTTGCAGTCCGCGGGCCAGTTGTGTTATGCACTGGCTACGCCTATGGCGGTTTTAGCAAAGGGGGGGGGGGAGTAATGGTATATCATGTGACCCCACGTATTTGACATATCTGCCCTAGCTAATGAAGAATCTAAGAGAATTTGAAAGCATGTGTAGTATTTATTAATATCTGGATAGGCTTAAAATTGATTGCACAGCTATCTTCTAAATCTCTCATTTGTTAATGCTTAAAAGAAAACAGGAAATAGAGCCAAAATATAATCCAAATTATTCAGATTAACTGAAATCATTCATCTTATCGTCAGTCATACTTCATGGAAATATTTTAAAGCACCAACTCAAAGTAGGGCAGAAAAATTCTAAAATTAATTTGATCCAGCTATTCTGATTAATTGATTTCCAAGCCTTTACTTAAAAACCTTGGGGAAATTTAGACCCAATTTATGGACATTCAAAGAAGGATATAGTTGATGCAAAGCTAATTCACGTGCCACAATTCTTCTATTTCAAATCTTAGAAAATGAAAACTAAAACTGAACATTAAAGATCTCCATATACTTCAGGCAAACATTAAATTTCAGCCATGCTTGCTAACTAATTTTAGGTACTAAAGCTTGTTATGTAATTTTTCAATTTTCTCAAAAACGTGCAGCCAAGAAAGGCACTTAATAACCATTATCACCAATAAAATCTAGACAGAATTCAGTTAGTATAGTGAACATTCATATGGAATGTATTAACATATAAAAAATACTTTTATAGCCACTTCTAGATGACTTCCTAATAAAGATTTAATATAGTTTACTATTACCACAAATAATATCTTAATAATAACAAATAGGTTTATTTTATAGTAACCCATAGTATCTTAAATTGTGAGCCAATTTGTTGTAATAGTAAAAAGCTCCAGGTTATAAACCAGGAGATGATAAATCCTAGCTTCATCTTAGTGACAAAACCAGCTGCGTGATCTTGGCCAGTCACTTCTTGGCCTTTAGAAGGTGGGAATGGAAAGCCATTTCTGAAAAATACTGCCAAGAAAACTGCAGGGAATCGTTGCCAGGAGTCAAAACTGACTTGAAGGAGCTAAATATTTCTTAAATTGCACAGTAACCAAACACAGAAGTGACCAGGAGTCTTCAGAGCATCCTTATGATTTATTTGGAGAAATGCCATCAGGTTTCAGAAACAGATATTTCCCTGGGACCCATTATTCTAGATTTATTAACAGTCAGATGAATTGCATTGCTTTAACTTTATTATAGCACATTAGCCACATCCATTTAGCTTATGCACCAAGCAACAGCCAACATTGTAATGCAGTGATGTAATGGACAACTTGTAAACCTATGTCAACAACATCCAGTTAGATTTTGGACTATGAAAGATAAATATTTTGCTTAAATACACAGACGTTCACACGTAACAACATGTTTGCCAATATTCAAAGTATGCAAAAGAAAAAAATATGTAATTCTGATATCCTTGCCACCACTCCTTGAAGATGAACTACCATTCTATCAATGGCAGATGTCATTGTCTGTGTAGCAAACACACAACATGGTATAAAACTACTCTAGGATTATATGTGATTACATTTGCAGAGGAAAGGAAACTAGAAGAAAGCTTATGCACAAAGACAAATTCCTTGTGTGCCCAATCATGGCCAATAAAGAATTCTATTCTGTTCTGTTCTGTTCTGTTCCGTTCCGTTCCATTCCATTCCATTATGTAAGTGGAGATGTCCTGCTGGTGATAGAGAAGGCTATTCTTATATATAGAAAATGGATAATATCAGCTGTGGTCAAAGCAAGCACTAACATTTTGAATATTCAGATAGTCCTTGTTTAGTGACATCCTTAGACAGCAACCATTCACAATTGTAACAGGTATGAAAAAGTAACTTCACAACCAATGCCTGCATTTACAACAAAAAGAAGCCTTCAGTGTAAAACTGACTAAGATCTGGTCAGTTTCAGGCAGCAGCTGAAATGCAAAAGGGTTCTAATCAACTAAGTTTATTAACTAGCAATTAGCAGTTTTAAGAGAGCAACACCCTCTGAGAAAAGTAACTTGGGAAAAGCAATTGCTTGTTTAAACAATTTCTCCGAGGTGATAAAAAAAGAAAAAGAAAAAAGAAAGCCAGGCACAGAACTTCATCTGAATGAGACAGTAGCATCAGCAATCTTCGTAGTCTCTCTCTTTCTTTCTCTTTGTCTGTCATATAGTTCACTTAGTGTCTGGGGCACTTAAAGCCATTTCACAAAAATCAGTTATGGTCACTAAACAAGAACTCCTTGTAAATTGAATCAGGCTACATATAAAGTGTCTCTATAATTTAATCACCAAAAGTAGGTTATATATGTTGGGATGCAAGTTTCAACAGGACAGGACAGGACAGGACAGGACAGGACACACAATGAATTTGTCTCTGGTGCATAAGCTCACAGTGTAAATATAAACAGCAAGTAACAGGTCATAGATCATAAATCATCGTTACAATCATTAATCATGTTGCAAACAACAATTGATAAATCATAAGATACCAGTAGGAGAAGGCAGGAGGAAAGGCGAGAAGATGAGAAAAGATGAGAAATGCTGTTGGAATTAAGTATCTTTGTGTCTAGGGTTTTTTTTGGCACAATGTAATTCAAGAAGGATAATGTAGCAGAAATCATGTCTAAGTACTCACCCACACATTCCATGGCTTCATCTAAATGTACAAAACCATCGGGGCATTCTTCAAAGCAACGGCCTCGGTAGAGATAAAAGCCAGGTTTGCATTTGGTGCAAAAATCTCGACTAAAACAAGAATCACAGTTCTCTATTCTGCATCCTAAGGAGGAAAAATACATGCATTTGAGTTTGGTAGCTTATAAAACAATTTAATGCAGAAAGGAGAAACCTGTCAATGACTACTTACCTGGCAATGACTACTTCGGCTTCAACCACAATAATATATGGGTAAACAATAGATACAAACCTATGGTAAACCACTCGAAATTTGGTTGCAGAAAATATGTCTTCAGAAACACAGTGGTCAATGCCTGGAATGCTCTACCTACTCCATTGTTACATCATCAAATCCTCACAGCTTTGATCTTAAACTGTCTACCATGGACCTCACCCATTCGTAAGAGGTCTGTAAGAGGGCATGCATAAGCGTACCAGCATGCTTACTGTCCCTATCCTACTGTCCCCATTTATTCGTACTCATTTCCTGTGTTCATGTCCGTGTTTGTACTTTTACCTGTTATCTTGTACATGTTTGACAAACTAAATAAATAAATTAAAATAAATACTGCTAATGTACCAGGGGCACGCCTAACAAAGGTAAATTGCAAATATGTAATCACTTAATTTGTAAACAATGGTTCAAAAATGCTCGTGACGGAGTTCACACCACAAGGTGAATCAAAAACAAACTCAGTATATTATTATTCAGCAGTATGGACAAATGTAAATTGTATGTGTGTTTCCAAAATATATGCATTTGAGTTTGGTAGCTTATGAAACAATGTAATGCAGAAAGGAGCAAGATGCGAATACTTAGTTGTAGTCCCTCAAATTATAATCATTGGACAATTCTCAGGATCTCTAGCCAGCAAGACCAAAGGGAATTCTGGGATTTAAGAATCCCCAAACATCTAGAACAGTGTTTAATCAAAGTTGGCAACTTTAAGAGTTGAATGGCCTTGAACTCTCAGAATTCCCTAACCAGTGTGCTAGCGAATTCTGGAAGCTGCTGGCTGGGGAAATTTGGGAGTTGAAGTCCACACATCTTAAAGTTGCCAAGTTTGAGAAACTCTGAGCTAGAACATCAGATTGGAGAAGACTGATGGACTGGATACTTCAGCCAGATTTCCCATTCCCAAATGACTTGAATAACACTGAAGTTTGCCCAACTCATAAGTGGTTACATGACTTTTAAATATGTGTGGCCGCTCTTCCAGATTTATTTTACCCTAGAATAAATGCACAGATGGTTCCCACATTTCAGATCACATGTGTGGAACAAATATCTTTATTCCCTTTCTCATAGATAGCCTTTTATAAACATTTCATGCACACCCCGCATGGATGCATGGTTGGTTTTTTAAAACCCATTAACATCAATAGATTTTTTTAAAATCATCCATATGCAGAATATATGTAGACATTTATAAACAAAGGGTTGGAAGGAAGAGTTAACTCTTCCCTGCATGCAGTGGTCACAATATGGATCAGGCAACTTGTTTTTAAATTATAGGTGAATATAACTTGTTGTTTCCTAACCTGTTTTCTGTAACTTTTGTAATTTGAGAGGGATTTATTGCTCTGTGATGCTATATCCCTTTTTAACTTTACTTTTAAAATGAAGCATTTTGCCAAAATTTTGTAGAAACAGTGTACATCAGAAAGTGTGGTCTATAATGCCCATTGTACAAATTATGTACTTTAGCCTTAGTTTTCTTGATGTAAACTTATTTTTGATGTTTAAATTTGTTGAATGGGATGAAAAGACTACAAAGGCAAACACTGATAAAATTTGTAGAATAAATACAGGATTTGCAAAAAATAAGAAGACAAGAAGAAGACAAGAGATCAGGTTTTGCAGCAAGACTGAAGATCCATGATTAAATAAATTCAGATTAAAATATATTGTATAAGAGAAAAGAGTACTTCTTTTTGTTTGTTGGACAGAGAGGACCACTGGTTTGACAGAGGGGGGTCAAAGAAATCCTCTTTATAAAAATTGAGCAGCCCTCTCTCAATAGAAGGGGAGGGATACGACATCATCTGTCTTGAGTCTACAACACAGTCCTTTAAACAGTTCCAAGAAGGGTCAATATCCATCTGCACCACTCAGGTGACCCAGATGACATAGAAAAACCTTCAGGTGGCCTTAACCACTCACTAAAAGAATGCAATTGATCAACTGTCTGAAATCCTTCCATTCCCCACCATCCAGTCAGTGCTGAAGAAGATTCTTGAATGAGAAGCAAAAGAGACAGCGCTGTCTGAAGATGTGTTCATGGTCATGTGGCCGGCATGACTAAATGCCAAAGGCGCACAGATCACTATTACCTTCCCACTAAAGGTGGTTCCTATTTTTCCACTTGCATTTCTACATGCTTTCGAACTGCTAGGTTGGCAGAAGCTGGGACAAGTAACGGGAGCTCACACCATTATGCAGCGCTAGGAATTTGACCCGCCGAACTGCCAAACATTCTGATCAACAAGATCAGCGTTTTAGCCACTGAGCCACCGCATCCCTTACCGTAAATATTTCTCAGCAAATTAAGCTTATACAATGATGGCTATGTATGTTAACAATAAGACAAATGGAAATAAAAATGTATTTTGTAACAAAAAAGAAAATTGAGTTTGTACACAAGCCAAAGAAGTGGCAAGCATATCAAATACAAAAAGCAAATGTTATTGAAACTAGAAGAGGAGATGGTGTATTAACGGATAATGTGGCTATGCAGAAAAGTATTTCAGCAATATGATTCCAATTTGTCTAAAGGACAAGATATTTCTCTGGAGAAAACAAATGAATATTTAAAGAAACTTTACTGAGGATTACATTTTATCTGATAGGTTGAAAATAGTTTGCAAGAATTTATCCCTAAGCAACAATGTAGATTTATGGCCCTCAGCACAAGGGACAATTTATAGACAAGAAATAATACGCAAACACAAATAGCTAAAATATCACATTATACTAGAATTTTGCCAAGGGGAATACAAAATAAAATCAAGAGAACAATTGGTGGCAGAAGGATATTGTTACCAATGGTTTTCTTATTTACAGTTACCAGAAAGAATTAAAGTAAACAAAAGAGTTTAGGGTATTGAACGGAGTAAGACTTAGTTTGAAATAGAATTCTGTACAAAATGATGAACATGTGATTACTAAAATATATAAACGTTTACTGAAATATGAAACAGAAGAACAAGTGAAAGAATGTTTGATAAAGTGGGCTAAAAACTGTGGTTACAACACAGAGATTGAACAAAGGGAAAACACATAGTTGAAAGGGTTTAAATTTGCAGTTATCATCTTAAAGAAAACTTTAATCAAATGTTCTACCATTAATATATAGAAATTGTCTAGAATCATGATGGCACCAGTGGTGGGTTTCCATTTTTTTTTACTATTGGTTTGCTCATGCACGCTTGGGTGCTCTACACTTCTGCACTTGTGCGTAAAACTGTCTGGGTGGGCGGAACCTCCTGCCACCGCCACTACCGTTTCGCCTCATTTGGGACAAACCGGGAGCAATCCACTACTGGCATGCATGCCAGGCAGTTGGTCTACTGCGCATGTGCACCAGCTAACTGCTCTCTTCATGAACGTGCCGGCCAGCTGGTCTTTGAACCAGCTGGCCAGCTCACATGCATAGAGCAGCTGGCCAGTGCGTATGTGCGTGGTGGAACCCAGAAGAGCAGCTTCCGGATTCTTGCAATCCAGTTTTGGCACTTAGTGCCGAAAAGGTTAATCATCACTGGTCTAGAATGTATAAAGGCACTTCAAACTGATATTAGAAATGTAAACAAGGGTCATTCTATCATTATTTGTGGAGCTAAACAACTTTGCATGCAAATACATACAATGATTCAGAGGATTTTAAAGATTAATATGTAATTGAAGCCAAAGACTTGCTCTTGGAACCTATGGACAAACAGTGTAAATTTGTTTTTGTTTATGAATACCACAGTGAGATTAGTGTATGGACAAAGATGGGAAAATTTAGCAATAAATACAATGGATAAATGTTTGGTGAAAATGATAGAACTTGCCGAGACGACCAACAGACTTGTTTGATCAGAGAAAAGACCAAATCTATATTTGTTGCCGATTGGAAGCCTCTTATGCCGATTTTGTACGGATAAAATAGAAAAAAACGAACGGAAGGTTTTGATTATTTTTCTTTTACTTTTTCTTTCCTTCTTACAGTTTCAGCTTTTCTTTGATATATTTTCTTTCCTTTTTCTTCCCTATTAATTTTAATATCAATATGGACACTGATAAGTTACCTATATGCAAAAAAATAAATGTGTAGACGAATGTTATAGAAATTGATTTTGCATCATGGCTAGAAAATTGGGATTAAAATGAGGTTTTCCAATTTTTCTAGAAACCAATATTACCAGTGAAGATTTCAGACAGTTATGGGAAGAAGACTGAAAAAAGAGCATACAGGCATTGACGTAATTATTTGGTTTGTGAAAAAACATGATTTATTGATATGAGTTTATTGCATAAAAACTTCACCATGAGGCAGAAATAAAATTAGATAGGGAAAATATTAAAACATAAATTGTTTATAGAATGAATCAAAAGAAATATATTAGAGGTTTACAGATATTAGGTTATTTTTTTTCCAATGTATATTAAAACAATGTAACAGGACTATATAAATCTGATTAATGTGATAGAGATAATCAATAATGTTAATGTGAATTGGATCAACATTAATGATATCATTAAATCCATTCACACTGTTATTGTGAATTGGTTTACAGTGAAAAAAAAATGGATAAGAATTAAAATACTAAAGAGGAGATGTATAAATAATATAATGAGGATTATATAAACTTGATAAATGTGAGAGATTATTAACAATGTTAGCGTGAATTGGATCAAAATAAATGAAACTTAGTTAAATTTGTTCACATATAATAGAGAAATGTTTAGATAGAACAAGAAAGATATAGATGAAGGTAGAGATAAAGATGAGGAATTAGGCATTTTTTAAATATACTATATATGTTTATATAAAATATAGTAAGGATTACTTAGATTTGAGAAATGTGATAGATTTTACTAATATTGTTATTGTGAATTGG